CATTATAACATGATATAAAACTCAAAAAAGTTGATTTTACATGATATTGCCCCTTTAAGCAAATTAAAAGAGAAAAAATAAAATAAAAAAAATCTCTTGAATATCATGTTACAAATATTTTTGGCTTTTCTAAAAGTTCTCACACGTAGTGCATTTCAGATTTTTTTAAATAAAACTTAATTTAAAATCTTGGTTTATAAATACATTCTTATATTAATGTGGATCATGACTGGCTCTGCGGGGTGTCAAAGTTCTGATCCTGGTCTTACAGACCTGTGCATGGATCTGTTTCAGATGATCTGGTGTCTCTACAGGAGATCTRAGACGAGCAGACCTGTCTGTCAGACCAACAGCTTCTGGTTTTGTCCCTTCTGGTTGCTCGTCTCTTAATGGCATCGACCAGCTTATTGGTCTAGTAAAAAGATTTTGGACTTTTCTGCACACAGACAGTTTCATGCATTTGATCTCTAGTGGGTTTTTAACAGCATGTGGACCAGCTTATCTGGTAGCAGGTTTTCAGTGGTGTCAGTCATCTGTTTACAGAGAACTAGTCTTTTGTCTGCAGGTGGCCGGTGTGGATGCTGGGCACAGACTGTACCTTCTTGAGTCCTGAATATTTGTATATTTAAAGCTTGTGTGTTTACTAAAAGGTTGTAAACATAATGGAGGAGTTTAAAGTTTAGATATAATAGAAAAGGCTTCATTAGAAACTATAACACATGGATGGATGTGTTTTTCGCACCTGTCAGAGGAACTTGTTCTCACAAAGCACCATGAAGCAGAACAAGCAGAGGGGTGTAAATGTTAGACGAAAGCTGATGATGCACAGGAGATAAAGATATGGAGCTGCTGGACTGATGTCTTCCTGTTGTTTCTCCATCAGATCTGTGTGGTTTAAAAGGCGGTGCTCTGGATCAGCTCGTACGCCTCGTGCAGTCTGTCCAGGAGCTCCGCCTTCTCCTCCTCAGGCAGGAAGGACGACTCTGCAGATTTGATGTTCTGAAAGACAAAGAGACTTTATGTAGAATCAGGAAACTTGTCCTTTGAGCGGAGAAAATATTTGGCAGGTGGCAAATTAAAGGGACGATGTGAATCCAGTGGTTTCACTGTGCTGTGGTGGAATAACTGCAGTAATGTCTGTCAGGATGAACGTGATGCTATGAGGAGCAGCTAAATACAATCAGATTAAACCAGGGCTATTCAACTAAACTGCTCCGGGGGCCACGGTTACTGCAGGCCAACAGCTGAGGGGCCGACCATCCAGCAATTAAAGTTATTATGTAAATAAACCAAAGATCTGTTACCTTTGAAATAGTTTATTTTGCTGCATTTAATCATGGATTTAAAACATAACCCTATGTAATAAATTGAGTGATAATAAAACAATATCAAAAACAAAAATAACGCATCATACCTCCTATTTAATACAAATAATATTTTGACATCTCTGACTTGCCAACTTTTTAAACCAATTTTAATTTTACTTTCATAGTTTTATTTTCAACTGCTTATAGTTTTAACTGTCTTGAGTGCTCATAGAAATATTTTTTACCGGCTTGAAGCTAAGATTCTGACATGTCTGTAGATACCAAACATGTCTATGTTTAACTAAAAGAACTCATAGGCTACSTTCACACTGCAGGTCTTAATGCTCAGTTCCGATTTTTTGAAATAATCCGATCTTTTTGTGTGAACGTTCACATTACGTTTTAAATGTGACCTGTATCAGACCCCTGTGTGAACGCTACACAGCACTGATGTGACACGCATGCACAGTGAAAGACGTGACGTCTCATCAGCC